CCTTGACCTGTCCGTCCTCCCTGGACTGACCTATCCCCTCCCTAACTCCCCACCTACACTCACCTTTACTGGCTCCATGCCCGCTTCTTTGACCTGCCTGTCTCCTCTCCACCTATCTTCTCCTCTATCCATCTTCTATCTGCCTCTCCCTCTCTCCTTATTTATTTCAGAACCCCCTTCCCCTCTCCCATTTCTGAAGAAGGGTCTAGGCCCAAAACATCAGCTTTCCTGCTCCTCTGATGCTGCTTGGCCTGCTGTGATCATCCAGCTCTACACCTTGTTATCGCAGATTCTCCAGCATCTGCAGTTCCTATTATCTCTGAAACAGTATTTCTACCCTCAGGTTTATTACTTGGTATTTCCGCTGCAATTTACTGAAATATTGAGGAATAGTTTTATTCAAAGGCTGAAAAATGAAAGTATATTGTAGACTAAAACACAGAAAAGAAATACTGTGATAAAAATTCTAACTATTGGAGTAAGATCTATCATTTGTTATAATGTTAGTCAATCATAAAACCGGACAAAATAAAAACCAAAAGAACTACAGATGCTGTAAATCAGAAACAATAATAGAAATTGCTGGAAAAGCTCAGCTGGTCTGGCAGCATCTGTGGAGAGAAATCAGAGTTAACATTTTGGGTCGAGTGACCCTTCCTCAGATTGGGTTCTGAGGAACGGTCTCTTGACCTGAAATGTTAACTCTGATTTGTCTCTATAGATTCTGCCAGTCCTACTGAGCTTTTCCATCAATTTCTGTTTTTGTTTATAAAAAAAGGCCTAGCTTGCTAAATATTGATCATCAGGACCGACAGAATGCCACTTTATCACTTGAGCATGATTTAAAAATCTCACAAAATTCTTATTCCCCTTGATATCAGTTGTCTCTGTCTGAAACCAAAAAGATTTACTGCGCCTGAGAGAAAAAGTACTGTGAAACTGTTCTCTGTGATTAGTTGGTGTGGAAGTCCATTCCTGGGTATACATGGGGATACACCCTCATCTGCACTGCCTGCACATAAAGTGTCACAATATTAGAAAACAATTATGAAATTTGGAAGCTACCTTCTCCAACTTAACTCATTCTTCCAGAAATATTCTAACACCACAGTTGCCCACCACTCTTCTCCACATCCCATCACTTCACAGTCTTTGTCTTTTTTATTGATATTATTACAGCTTCCAATGTTTCATTATTCTAGTAAGAAGAGCATTCCACAAATCGATCATTTTTGTGTAAAGAAGAATTTTCTGAAATCACATTCAAATTTAACTTGTACTGGTTTCAAGATGTATCTCCTTGTCTTAATCTCACAATACCCTTCAAAGTGATATTCTAGTTTAATCTTATCATGAATTTAGGATTCATTCATAATCAATGTATAGCAACATGGCTTGGTGGCATCAGCAAAATATTTATCATTTTAAGTAAGATTCTCTTCCAAAAATTTTTTTACATTAATGCTGGGGACCCTGAAAACTCCAAAAGTCTGGTTCCTGTGAATATTTCTAGAGTGATCTGAGAAAAGTCATTTTAAATTCAGGCAAATATGGAATAGTAAGCAGTAAAAGCTACTGGAAAGGTGCATGGAGGCACTATATTGGAATCAAATTCAATTTTGGTGACAGGATTTGAAATCCTGAAAATGTCACAGTGTAACCACTTTATCTTCTTATAACTTGGTAAAATTATTATTTTTACATCCACTTTACATCATACCTACATTGGTCAATATTTCAACTCACTTCCTAGGAAGGTTTCTTTCCTTAATTGGACTAGAAGGAGGCATTTATCACAAGTAACCTTTCCACATTATTGCATTTATTATTTCTTTGCTCTTGCAGCCAAAATCCTCATTACAGGAATATAAGAATGATTATTGCTGATCCAACTCTTTGATGCCTTCTTCCTTTTCTAACTCTATAACCCTTTATACCTTTCATAATCAGAAATCTATCAAAACTCACTTCTAATATACTCAAGGACCAAGGTTTCACAGCCCTCTGAGGTAGAGAATTCCAAAAACTCTTCTCATCTTATTTTGAAATGACATTTCCTTTATTTTTAAATTGTGCCTTATGGTTCAAGACTCACCAAGCATGGGAACCATCTTACCTGCATATACTCTGTCTGTCCTTTTTAGTAATTGAAGGTGTCAATGAGATTGCCTGTCATTCTTCAAAGCTTATAGAGAATACAGGCCCAACTTGCCCAATCTCTTTTCATAGGACACTAGCTCCATCATCCTGGGAACAAGTTTGGTATATCTTCATCACCGCTGTGGCAAAATGTCTTACATGCGATAAGGAAACCAAAAATGCATCAGGTGTGTTTAACCAAGTTTCTATACGCTTGAAGCAAATCTTCTCAACTTTTGTACTCAAATTCCCTTGTGATAAAGATTAACATCTCATTAATCTTCTTAATAACTTATTGCACCTGTATGTTAGCCTTCAGTGACTACTTGACAAGGACATGCAAATCCCATTGCACACTTACACCCTCCAACCTCTCAGCATTTAAGAAATACTGTGCACACTTGTTCTTCTTATCAAAGTGGATAATCTCACATTTTTCCACATTATGTACCATCTGCCATGTTCTTATCCTGTTACTTACCCTGTCCAAGTGTCTCCTGAAACTGCTTTATATCTTTCTCACAACACACATTCCTGCTTAACATTGCAAAACCCGCAAATTAGAAATATTAAATTTGGTCCCCATGCCCAAATTATTAATATCTGTGACCATCGGGGGCCAAACTACCCCACCAATCACAGCCTCCCGATGTGAGAATGATCCATTTATTCATACTGTTTCCTGTCTTTTAGCCAAGCCTTAACCTAAGCCAGTACATTTCGTCCCATCCCATCTGCTTAATTTTGCTGACCAGCCTCTTGTGTAGGACCTTATCAAAAACCTTCTGAAAATCTAAGTATTCTATACCACTTTTTTGGTTAGTAATATCCTCAAAAACTCCAGTAAGTCTGTCAAACATGATTCTATATTCGCAAATCATGCAGACTCTGGTCAAAATCAGATCATGTTTATTCTAAGTGTTCATTTATCACATCCTTTATGATAGATTCTGGTGTTTTCCCTGCTTCTGATGTAAAGCTGACAGATCAGTCATTCCCCTGTTTTCTCTCTGATTCCTTCCTTAAATAGTGGTATGTTATTGCTAATCTGTGGAATTTGGAAGATGGTCACCAATTCATCCATTATCTCTATGGCTGCCTCCTTCATCATCCTTGGATTATTAGAATATCAGATCTTGGAAACTTATCAACTCGTCACTATGTTAATTTCTCAAGTGCATCTTCTTACTAATACTAATTTCCTTCAATTCCTCATTTTCCTTAGTCACTTGTATCTCTAATTCTGGGAGATCATTTGTATCTTCCTTAGGGAGCAAAAGTAATCATTTAGCTTCCTTGGCATTTCTATATTCCCCATTATAAATTCTACCGTCTGCTTGTAATGGACCCATGTATGTCTTATCCAAGCATTTCTTTTCTGCATGAATAACTTGTTATATTTGAATAACTGTCCCACTAAATGTTTTAAAAGATATTTCAAATAAGTTCCCTGTTTCAATGTTGCTATTGTAATATTGTAATAGTTCGGTCACCAGCGATCAACAATTGTATAAGTTGCAATTTTGCTAATTTGAGACTCACTGGGTCAATCATTAAAGCTAAATAAAAGCAACAGCACAGGAAGCCATTTGGCTTGTTGTGTCTGTGCTTGTCTACTTAAGGAATAAGTTACCTGCTGCCTCTCTCCTGCATTTTGGCTAGCCCTGAAAATGTTTTGTTTTCAGACAAGGGAGTTGGGCTGAGAGTAACTTCCTTTGACTGAATATGATGTTAAGGTGTCCTGGCAAGCCTGGTGACAATGGAAATCAGGGGAAAACTGTCCAGTGATTGGAGTTATGCCTGGCACAAAGGAAGACAGTTGTGGCTATCGGAGATCAATCATCTCAGTCCCAAAGACATAACCACAAGCATTCCTCAGGACTGTGTCCATGGCCCAGTCATGTTCTGTTGCTTGAACCTTCCCTCCATTATAAAGTTGGTGAAGAGAATATTCATTGATGATTACACAATGTTCAGAACCATTCCCAACTTCTCAGATGCTAAAACAGACTAGGTCCATATGCAATAAAACCTGGACAACATTCAAGTTTGGATTGATAAATGGCAAGTATTATTCAGGCCACACAAGTGCCACACTATGACCACATCCAATTAAGGGAATCCAACAACATTATCATTGCTGAATCACCCACTATTATCAGAGGCTAAACTGAACCAACTGTACAAATAGCATAACTAAAGGAGGCAGGGAATTCTTCAGAGAGTAACTCACCTGATTCTGAATAGCCTGTCTGTATTCCATCTATGATGCACAGGTTAAAAGTATTACTCTCTATTTGCCTGGATGACCAGCACTACGCCACTCAAGAAGCTCAACACCAGCCAGGAAAAAGCATGCCCCTTAACTGAATCTGCATCCACCATCTTAAACATTCACTGTCTGGACCACTGAAGCACAATAGCGGCAGTGTGTGTCAACTACAAGATGCACTGCAACAACAACTCACAAATGCTCCTTTGAACTCACGTTTTAAACACATGATCTTTGCCACCTATCTACCTCCACTTTAGAAAAATGGCAATAATCTGGCAGATAGGAGTATAATGTCAGAAAATACAAAGATATTCACTTTGGTAAGACGAGTGAAAAAAAGAGTATAACTTAAATGGAGAATGACTGCATAATTCTGAGGTACAGAGGAATCTATGTGTACTCGTGCATAAGTCACAAAAGCTTAGTCTGCAGGTTCAGCCATAATCAGAAAGGCTAATAGTTTGCTAGTTTCTATTATGAGATGAACTGAATATAACAGTAAGGATGTTATGCTTCATTTATACACAGCATTGATGAAACTTCATCCGAATACTGTACTCAGTTTTATTCAATGAGTAATACTCAAGAACAGGCTGAGAATTGTGTGCAATACTGAAGATTTTGAGTGATTTGCAAATCTGGTGCAGAGTGGTCAGATAAATGAACACAATGGAGATTTTGGTCTCAACATTTTTCTTGAATTCGTCTGGAAACAGACACCATGTCAGAAGATCTGCTGGAAGGTCTAAAGCCATATTGTGTAGCTGGTAGGGTTTTCTGAGCCACAGGGAGTAGACGATTCAGGATAATGTATGTTAGATTATTCAAACTGTGGCCAAGAGGGCAGTACATCAGTAGAGTCCATGGTTTTATTCATCTCTCTCTTCTTGAAGATAGTGATGATTGTTACATTCCTCAAGCCCAGTGGGGGGGTGGGTTTTCTATCCTCCAGAATCCACATTATGAGTGGTTGGAGTCTTGTTGTGAACAAAGGCCCACAACCGTCTTGGAAACCTGAGCTGAATAACATCAGGGCTGCAGACTTTGTTGTTCTTATTTGTTTGATGGCTTGCCTGTACTGATTGAAGTTTGGAAGAGTGAGAAGTGACCATAATTAAACATACAAGATTTATAGGGGGATTTGCAAGGGAGATGTACAGAGGTTGTTTCCCAAGTAGGAGAGTCTAGGATCAGAAGACATAATGCTGAGGGGAGGTATGGCCTAGTGGTATTATCGCTAGACTGTTAATCCAGAGACTCAGACAACATTCTGGGGACCTGGGTTCGAATTTCACCATGGCAGATGGTGGAATTTGAATTCAATAAATAACTGGAATTAAAAGTCTAATGATGACCCTGAATCTATTGTCGATTGTTGAAAAAACCCATCTGGTTCACTTTAGGGAAGGAAACTGCCATCCTTACCTAGTTTGGTCTACATGTGACTCCAGACCCACAGCAATGTGGTTGACTCTTAACTCAGGGCAATTAGGGATGGGCAATAAATGTTGCCTAGCCAGTGACACCCCTATTCAGTGAATAAATAAAAAAGAATCTCAGACTAAGGGTTTTCCAGTTCGGACAGAGATGAGGAGGAACTTCTACTCTCAGTGTGTGATGGATCTGTGGAATTCTTTAACTCTGGAATGGCTGGGTAGTTAAAAATAATTAAGACTGTAATAGAAAGATTTTTAATTAAAAGGAGGATCAAGGGTTATGGGGAAAAGGGAAGAAAGTGGAGTTGAGGATCATCAGATCAACCATGATCTGATTGAATGACAATGCAGACTCAGTGGTCCAAATAGACTCTTTCTGCTTCCATGTTTCATTGTTTTATGCATTTTCTGTAGCTCGCTCAATGGACTCTACCACAGAATTCTGGGGATAACTTGGAGACTATCAGCTGCCATTGTGAATTCATAGTTGAGTTGTTGGAAATGTTGTTTTCAGCATTGATGGATTGCACTGTAATGCTTAGGAAGAAAGACACCATTCTATGGTGGTCTTTTCGTGGTTCTGGTGACTTCCAATAACATTTGCATGTCATAATGGTCAGCATACTGTTGGACATCTTGGACTGTCTTTTAACACGACTTGTCTCTTATCTCTTGGATTTTTCTTTAGACAACAACCTTGAGCTGTCGAAATTCTGCCTTTCTTGAGTTGCCACCTTGGATTATTCTGCCAGGCAACAAAAGCTGCTCACTTTGTTCTAGAGGTCACATAGTTCTGCATCCTATTTTGTCAAACCAGTTTTGGTGATAAGAATGCTCAATAGTCTGGGCATAGAAGTCCTGTATTACTGACCTTATTTGATTTGCCCTTAACAAATCTATGCTGGCTTTCCTTAATTAAGTCACATTTGCTCGAGTGAATATTAATGTTGTCTTGAATTGCCATTTCCGAAAGCTTCGCCACCACCAACGTTAAACCGATTGCCCTGTAGTTCCTATGCTTATCCATTGTCCTCTCCATATCAATTTTAATTCCTTCAACTGTCCGAATTACCTTCTCTTTCACTGTGACCTGTGCGACATCATCTTCATTATTGAAGATACATAAAATATACATTTTAAGTATCAGCCAAGCCTCCTGCCTCTGTGCATAAATCTCTGAATCAGCCCATTCTTCTTACCATCCATTAACCATTATAACCTATATTACCTATAGAGACTTTGAATTCCCTTTACCATATAAAATTTTACTTTGCTCTTTTGAATTAAAAGTGTTGACAATTTTCTGCATATATATCTATTCCTTTAGGCTGCAAACTCCATGCTTGATGGAGTTAAACAACAGAGAATCAGTTGGGAATTTAAGGTTTAAGAATAAACTTCCTTCATTTGTCCAATGCAATCAAGGGTATGGTTATGTGATTGGTGCGATGTTGTTAGGTATGAATTCCTATTTGAATAAGCCCATCACGTATCTCGATTAGATACCTTTTGGTTAGCAGTGCCATTATGTAGAACTATATTAATGTAGAATAGCAGAGCATTTAAAATTCAGTGTTAAGCTATTTGGCTGTGCTAGAGTTTATTCTCTGCATAAAAGTCCTCCCTATATATTTAATTCATCTCATTCAATTAACAAATGAGTTTGTTAGTTTCTCTCTCGTGCATTTATCAATTAAGGTATTAGAAATGGGATAAATATCTATGCATAAAATTAAAAAAAATGATTTGGGGCTTTTACATTAATAACTCATGGTTTGTGATTTCAGGTTTGATTTTCAGAATGGCAGTGATGCTGGGACCTATACTTGTGTCTTTGATACAAACCCAAAATCGGAAGGCAGGTTTGAAGTACAAAGTGAGTTTAATGCCTATGTTATAAATCATTTAGAATTATAGAATTTTACAGCCCGGAAAGAGGTCCTGTGGCCCGTCATGTCCAAGCCATTCATTTAGTACCTAACTACACTGGTCCCGTTTTTCCACCTCTTGATCCATAACCTTGTATGCTATGGCATTTCAAATGTTCACCTACATCCTTCTTAAATGTTGTGATGGTTTCTACCACCCTTTCAGATGGTGAGTATTTGGAACCCTCTAACCTCTGGGTGAAGAAAGTTCTTCCTCAAATCCTATCTAAACTTTCTATGCCCCTGGTTACAGTCACCTCTACGAGAGGGAAAAGTTATTTCCTATTCACCGTATGTATGCCCCTCATAATTTTGTATACCTTAATTAGGTCCCTCTTAGTCTCCTCTACCCCAAGGAAACCAATCCCAGCTTCTCTCTCTTCATAGATGAACCGCTCCAGCCCAGGCCAACATCCAGGTGAACCTCCAAATAAATTTTTGTTTAAGTGTGGTAACAACTGAACATAAGTACTCTAGCTGTGACCTAACTAATGTCTGATACAGCTTCATCATAACCTCCCTGCTCTCGTATTCAGTATTTTGACTATTTAAGTATTTAGTCTAACACTTTCGTCGATGCTATTTTCATGTCATCTATGAACTTAATGAACAATCCTCCTACATTTCTCTATGGATCATTAATGTTCACTACAATCAGCAAAGGATCCAAAACAAACCCTGCAGTACACCAATAGACATAAGACTTCTAGTCACAAAAACAACCTTTAACCATCACCCTCTGGCTCTTGCCGCTGAGCCAGTTTTGGGTCCAATTTGCCAACTGGCCTTGGATCCCATAGGCTCTTAGCTTCTTGTCAAAAGTCTTACTGAAAGTCCATGTAGATTACATCCACTGCACTATCCTCGTCCACACACCTCGTCACCTCCTTCTAAAAACTCAAGCAAACCTTTCAGACACGATCTTCCCTTGACAAGGCCATGCTTGTTATTGTTCATTAATTCTTGCCTCTCCAAGTGGACATTAATTCTGTCCCTCAGAATTTTTTCCAAATGTTTCTCCTTTATTGACATTAAATGCAATATAGTTGACTTATATTTGGCCTGTGCTTCCATGGCTTATCCTCACCACCTTTTGTGAATAATGCTAACACATTAGCTATCCTTCAGTCCTGTAGCACGTATTCATTGGCCAGAGAGGATTTGAAAATTAGTCATGACCTCTTCAATCGCCTCCCTTTTCTTCCAAACAATCTGGGATACATCTCATTTTTTCCTAGGGATTTATCCAATTTTACACAATATATCCTTCTGTTTACTATGAGGAATTTATTAGCAGATTTGCTGTTACAGGGGTAAGAATGTTAAGGATTACAGAGAATTAGTGTATTAGGAATAGATTTTCAGGCATTCCTAAGAGAACTGAAATGGCAAGAATTAATGCAGCTGGACTTGTAAAGATTACATTCACTTTTAATGTATTCCTCAGATGCAGATGATCTATTTTATTGAACAAAGCAATGTTGAACAAATTAATTACATCAGATATGGCTACTGTCTTGGCCTACTGTGCACTCACTCCTGCTTTAGCTTAAATGAGAAGCAACAAATATATAGAAGTCAAAGAAAACGTTCACCAGGACTTGGTGTGAAATAGGTAGCAGTCTCGCAGAAATCTTTATGTAGGCACTAATGGTAATGTAGAAATAAAATTTCTGCAAGGTTGATATTTCAAGTCATTCGTTAATTGGACCCACTCAAAAGTTGTTATTCATTAAATTTCTAGCCAGTTATCCTGCACATTACTGGATTGTCAATGGAGGTGTGACCTCAAGGCAAAGGTTCAGTTACAGATGTCTGCATTTATGAAGTATGCCAATAGCTGAAACAAGTACGTGTATAGTCAGAGTCCAGGAGTCATAGAGTAATTTACCTACGGTTTTGTCTGTTTTTCCACAGTTCCTCCTGTTTGGACCAAAAATATGAAAGAGATACGTTCCGATGGTGATCATATTAACTTAACCTGCAAAAGTGACCAATATATTCCCCTTTACTGGATTTGGTCAAAGGAAGTCAAAGGCAGCAAGGTGGTAAGGAATAGCGGATTTTTATTACATATAAACTAGCCATTGTTGCTAGTACAAAACTTGACAATTGTGCAATGTACACACATTGTGCCTGGTTCAACTCTACAAAACAGATGATAGCCATTTCTCAGAGCAATGCCTTGACAATTAGAGTCAACCTGCATCGTTTAAAATTTAAACAAATCTTGGAAATTGACTGTCAGTTATCATCAAATGGATATATTCTCCATGACAATATCTCTATCAATCAGATTTGGCTAGCCAACCAATCAGCACTTTCTTCTCAAACAGTATTAAATGCTGTTTTCCCTTTACACAGGTATATTTTGCAAATTATCCTGTGAACAGCAAGGTGAAAAGCTTCAACTATATTTTTCAGCAGTAGTTGATCAGATAAATGATTAAAAAGAAATTCTTTAGAGAAAGTCCTCGGTTGGTAAAATATTGAAGTAAGAAGTGGGGTTGATTTCTTGTTCTGCAAAGTTTGATTACATCTCAAAATACCGTTGTTTGATAATTTAATCCCATTCAAATCAAACTTTTTATCTAGTGATTAACAACAAGATAGAATAAAATATAATAATATTTTAAAGCCAGCAGTTACAAGTTGCATAAATTGAAAACACTTGATTCCCAAACCTTTTACTAAGAAACGGGTCGAAGTTTTCAGCCTGGTTTTGGTTGATCTGCACCTCAACTCCTTTTGTTACTTTTATTTCACATCCTTCATAGCCTTTCCAAACAAAAGTAAAATTTGCATTGTGGTGCCATGGAAGCATATCTTCACTTAAATCCTATCTGATGTGAAAGTGCTACAGCAATTCTCTGTCTCTTTCTATTTATCTAGACCCTGAGTAATGAAACAGAAGACCAATATTACATCTATAGTATTGGCAACAAATCATCACTTTTAATAAAAAGCCTGATAATGGATAACACCACTTATTATCACTGCGATGCTGTCTATGAAGTGGGGTTCAGTGGTCTGCGGATTCATCTGAAGGTTAACAGCCTGGTTGCTGCAGTCATACCATTTGTTTGCATTGTTGCTGAAGTGCTAGTTTTAGTTATCTTCATTCTTGTTTGTGAGAGAAAGATGAAACAGAAAGAAGATCTTGCTGGTAAGAGTGTTTTTGCATTTTAACATTTACTTGAAACTGAAACAAAATTAATTTTGTACACTTTTAAGAAAGCAGAATATATGGAAAATTTCCTTTTGGCTGAGTAAAGATTATGCTTTCAGCATCTAATCTATAAGGAATGAAGCTGAGCAATGAAGCAGTAGCAATTAACTGAATAGTAGTAGTGAATGGTACTGGTAAGGAAAGATACCATTTCCTAGGGTGGGGGAGTCCAAAACTAGAGGGCATAGATTTAAGGTGAGAGGGGAAAGATTTAAAAAGGACCTGACAGGTAACTTTTTCATGCAGAGGGAGGTGTGTGTATGGAATGAGCTGGAGCCCAGGGTACAATTACAACATTTCAAAGTTATCTCGATGGATACATGAATAAGAAAGGTGTAGAGAGATATGGGTCAGATACTGGCAAATGGGACTAAATCAGTTCTGGATACCTGGTCAAGATGGACAAGTTGGACCAAAGTGTCTGTTTCCACGCTGTGTGACTCCATGAGATAGCTGGATTCTGGATCAGTAGGGGAATGAAGGGTTATGGAGAAAGGGCAGGAAAGTGGATGTGAGGAATCATCCATGATTCCATTAAATGGTGGAGCAGGCTTAAAGGGCCACACAGCCTACTTCTGTTCATATTTTGATGGTATTATGGTCTCAAGGCCTCATTACCTGAAGACATCATGGCCAATAGTGGTGTGTTGAGACAGATTATGCACAAACTGGCAGGATCAAGAAATTGAGAATTTTGGGAGAGAGTCACTTGTGGGTGCAGAGAGTTAGAGATGTAAAAAGGATGACAACTTGGGGGCCATGAGCCAATGCAATGACAATGGAACTTGAGAGAGGATAAAAAGGGGCAACAGATCTTTTGAGTGAATTGCTGTTGAATGCGGGTGAATGATGGAAAACCAACCAACAGAGAATTTGATTCGTGTCATAGAATGTTTGTCTTTGAAGACCATTGTACTTGCATGTCAATACCAATTCCCTGTAAGAGTAATTCAATTTGTCCATATAAACTCCCAACTCGTCTCCATAGCTCTTAAATTGCTTTCTCTTCACATCATTTTTAAAAGTCTTTGCAGCCTTAAGGCTTTATCTATAAAGCTCAGATTCCTATATGTCTTAAGAAATGTTTTCTCAATGCTGTTACCTTCAATGATTGGTGCACATGCTCCTGCATCTACTTTAGAGTTGTGCCCTTTAGTCACTGGACAGCACCGTAGCTCAGTGGTTAGCACTACTGGCTCACAGCACCAGGGATCTGGGTTTGATTCCACCCTTGGAGACTGTCTGTGTGGAGTTTGCACATTCTCCCTGTGTCTGCAGGGTTTCCTCCCACAGTCTAAGGATGTGCAGGCTAGGTGGATTGGCCACGCTAAGTTGCCCATGGTGTTCAGTGTTGTGAGTTATAAGAGGATGGGTCTGGGTGGGATACTCTGAGTGTCAGTGTGGTCTTGTTGGGCTGAAGGGCCTGTTTCCACACTGTAAGGATTCTATGATCTTTATTGTCTTTTTTTGTTATTCCTATGAAAATGTAGCACTTCACACTTAACGGCTTGGAATTTTGCATGCCACAAATCTGCCCATTCTACCTGTTTGACTGTATGCTCTTGAAGTCTATCACCATGCTACTGAGAGTTCACAAGTTTCCAAGTTTTGTATCTGTAAATTTTTGAAATTGTGCCCAGTACACTCATTGGCAAAGTCTTGTGCTGGCAAAGGCATAGATTACGATTTCAGCACCAGGTTGATTAAGATGAAAGCAAAGATAGGAGATGTGACCTCTATTTCTGACTTTCAAAAGAGTGGAATTTCAAGACACCTTTTCCTCTGACCCACACATTAATTCTTTATTAATGCTTTGGTCTATTTTAAATAGTGAATACAATGATCATTGCTACAGCCTTCACGGTTGAACGTAATTTTGTTCTGGATTGTTCTCTGGGGTCATCATTCCAATCCAGTTGCTTTATGTAACTCGATTTTCCTGGTTTCTTTTCCATGTAAACATTCTAACAAATGACTGTTGTCACAGAAGGAGAAAAATTTCCAGAGAGACTGTAAGTACTTTCCTTTCATTGTAATTCATTTTGAAATATTTCCTTTTCCAATGTAATTGAGAATATTTCTGTAGGACCACAGACGAGTTACTCGATTCCACTGAAAATGGAGCTCGGCACAGAAAGGTTGAATCTGCTTCAGTGCAAGTGAGTGAATAAATTATTTTAATTTCATAGTTTAAAAGTTCTGAGTATTCTGTGCCTCCTGTTAAACATGTTATGGGAAACTGAGACAGCCACCCAGAATTTCTGGACTGATATAGCTCTGCAGTGCTCAAGAGTCAAAATAAATCAATGTGGGCTGACCCTCATTAATTTGATTCTGAACTCTGGCACCCTTTCCCTATACCCAACCCCCAGAAACTGCTCCCTCCTCACAAAGCATTTACCTGAGACCTTGGCTCGCAGCTTTTGTGGTGTTGAGTGCTGAGATCTGCAGACTGCGAATTGGGCATGATGGCAACTCTTGATGGCTGGAATTTCTGCCCGAGAAGACCTGATTTCAGAGGAAAACCCACTGTTGCACTTTAATTGGAAGAAGATACAACAGCCCGTCCTCTGAAGGGTCAGCTCAGGTGACTCGCCACTTTCGAGCAAGTTGGCAAGAATTGAATGAAGACAGATGATTCCACCCGTGACCTTTCAGTAGCTAATGAAGCAAAAAGTATGTGTTTTGGAATCTTGCTGCATCACTCGCTGTGCTCGAATTAAGCCTTTACACCCACAATTTTGTACTTTATTGCAACACCTTCTTCTAGTCAATCTGCCATCTCTTGGATGATATTTTTCCAATAAGAGAAAGCAGGTTGTGTGTGCAGTGAATTAAATCCTGCAAAAGTGATGTCAAATCTGGATCCCATTGTCACTTCACTGTGTTCCTGTTCATGAGGGTGAGTCCTGAGACAAGTAGGGGATCTGTCTGCCAATTAAGATACCAAATTTAGTTCTATTTGATGCTGTCACTATCAATGAACAAGTTTCACGCTGATCTACATCTCATTAGATTGGAGGAGGTCATTGTTGAATGAAATTATCCTGCTGATAACAGTATGAAGGCTAAAACCAGCAAGTTTGTTGTTAGCCATAGTGCAAGGTTAGTACTGACAGGAGTACATTTTTTTAGACTGAGCAGCTTTGTTCAGAGACTCGCAAGTGCCTCAGAGTCTATGGAGCTGAATTTGAATGTATTACCTTTGTGATTTCCCTGTAACATTGGCTTCACCTATGCCACAGCACCTTGCATCTCTGTTGAGGAGCAGCAGCTTTATCTAATCCCAACTATAGCAAAAAGTGCAATGGCAGCAAGTCCTCTCAAACCACATGGAGCTACACAATGCAAAGGGAGTACAATAGTCTAGGCCAGGGCTATAAATCATGGGCCTTGGTTATAAAGCCCAGATGTACAGAAGAACATGAGAACATAACAAAAAGGAGCAGGAATAGGCAAATTACCCCCTCAAGCCTGCTCTGCCATTTGATACAATCATAGCTGATCACATCTTTGCATCAACCCCACTTTCCTGCCTGCTTTTCATAATGCTTCAACCCGTTACTAATTAAATATGTGTCTATCACCTCAAATTTACTCAATGTCCCAGTATCCACTACACTCTGGGCTAGTGAATTCCACAGATTCCCGACCTTTTGAGAGAAGTCAATTCAACTCAGCTCAGTTTTAAATCTGCTACCCCTTATCCCAAAACAAAGACCACTGACTGTGAATTGCCGTGCATGAGGAAATATCGTCTCCCAAGTCTACTTTATCACAGTGTCATAGAGATGTACAGCTCAGAAACAGAACCTTCATCCAACTCATCCATGCTGACCAGATATCCCAAATAAATCTAGTCCCATTTGCCAGCATTTGGTCCATATCCCTGTAAACCCTTCATATTCATATCCCATCCCGGTGCCAATGCTGTAATTGTACCAGCCTCCACCACTTCCTTTGGCAGCCCATTCCATACACGCATCACCCTCTGTGTGAAAAAGTTGCCCCTTAGGTCCCTTTTAAATCTTTCACCTCTCACCTTAAACCAATGCTGTCTAGTTTTGGACTCCTTGACTATTTACCCTATCCATGCCCCTCATGATTTTATAAACCTCTCTAAGGTCAACCCTTAGTCTCTGCCAGTCCAGGGAATATAGTCCCAGCCTATTCAGTTTCTCCCTATGGCTCAAACCCTCCAACCGTGGTAACAACCTCATAAATCTTTTCTGAACCCTTTCAAGTTTAACAACATCTTTCCTATAGCAGGGAGACCAGAATTGAATGCAGAATTCCTAAAGTGGCCTAACCAATGTCCTGTACAGCTGCAGCATGACCTCCCAACAACCCCTGTATTCAATGCACGGACCAATAAAGGCAAGCGTATTAAACGCCTTCTTCACCACCCTGTCGACCTGCGACTCAACTTTCAAGGAACTATGAACCTGTACCCCAAGGCCTCTTTGTTCAGCAACACTCCCCAGGATCTTACCATGAATTTTATAAGTCCTGCCCTGATTTGACCTACCAAAATGTCGCAACTCACATTTATCCACATTAAACTCCATCTGCCACTCCTCGGGCCATCAGCTCATCTGATCGAGGTCCAGACCACTGTACCACCAATTTTGGTATCATCTGCAAATTTACTAACCATACCTCCTATATTCACATCCAAATCATTTGTATAAATGGCAAAAAGCAGTGCAGCCAGCACCAATTCCCTGTGACACACCGCTGGTCACAGGCCTCCAGTCTGAAAAGCAAGCCTTCACCACCACCCTTTGTCTTCAACCTTCCAGCCAATTTTGTATTCAGATGGTTAGTTCTCCCTATATTCCATGTGATCTAACCTTTTAAGCAGTCTACCATGTAGAACCTTGTTCAATGCCTTACTGAAGTCTATATTGACAACCTCTACCTCTCTGCCTTCATCAAACTTCTTCATCTCTTCTTCAAAAAACTCACAATCCTCTTTTGCATTTTACATACGTCAATTAGATATCATCTCCCTCTTCTAAACTCCAGTGAGTAGAGACTTAAACTGCTCATAAGTCAAACCTGTCATCTCTGGAATCAATCTAATGAACCTTATCTGAACTGCAACCAACTACATCCCTCCTCATGTAAGGGGAGCAAAATTGTAAACAATATTCCAGGAAAGGTCTCAGTGAGCCTTGTACAGTTGATGTAACACTTGCCTGCTTTTATATTTCTTTATGCTATTCTTTAAGCAGTATATGCTAAAATTTCTTTTGCCTTCCTTATTTTCTGCATACTAGTTTTCTGTGATTCATGCACAGGAACATCCAGATTCCTTTGTACAGAAGCACTCTGACAGTTCTGTCCATTTAGACAATTTGCCTTTCTATTCCTCCGACTAAAATGGATAGTCTCACACTTATCCACATTATACTTCATCTACCAAATTTTGGCCCATTCACCTAAATCTCCATTGCAACTTATTTTTCCAAATATTTTAGCGTCATCTACAAATTTGGCTTTAGTTCTTTCTATCCCTGAATCCAAGTCATTAATATAGATTGTAAAGAGTTGGGACCCAAGGACCGTATCCTGTTCCACCCCACTAAATATATCTTGTCAACTGGAGAAAGACTTATCCTGACTCTCTGCTATCTGTTGGTTAGCTCATCCTCTATCCAAGCTAATAAGTTACCCCTAACACCATGTGACCTTACTTTATGTGTACCTTTTGCACAGCACCTTATCAAATGCCTTTGAGAACTACATCTACAGTATCCCCATCCTCACTGTCTACTGGAGTAGTACCAGATGATTGGAGGGTGGCAAATGTTATTCCCTCGTTCAAGAAAAGGAATAGGGATAATCCTGGGAATTACAGACCAGTCAGTCTTACTTCAGTGGTGGGCAAATTATTGCAGAGGATTCTGAGAGAGAGTATTTATAATTATTTGGAAAAGCACAGTTTGATTAGAAATAGTCAGCATGGCTTTGTGAGGGGCAGATCATGCCTCACAAGCCTCATTAAATTCTTTGAGGATGTGACAAAACACAGAGATGAAGGTAGAGCAGTGGATGTGGTGTATATGGATTTTAGCAAGGCATTTGATAAGGTTCCCCATGGTAGGCTCATACAGAAAGTAAGGAGGCATGGGATTCAGGGAAATTTGGCTGTCTGGATACAAAACTGGCTGTCCAATAGAAGACAGATGGTGGTAGTAGATGGAAAGTATTCAGCCGGGAGTTCGGTGACCAGTGGTGTTCCACAGGGATCTGTTCTGGAACATCTGCTCTTAGTGATCTTTATAAATGACTTGGATGAGGAAGTGGGAGGGTGGGTTAGTAAGTTTGCCGATGACACAAAGGCTGGTGGAGTTGTGGAGCGTGGAGGGCTGCTGTAGGTTGCAACAGGACATTGACAGGATGCAGAGCTGGGCAAAGAAGTGGCAGATGGAATTCAACCCAGAAAAGTGAAAAATGACTCATTTTGGAAGGTCGAATTTGAATGCAGAATACAGGATTGATAGTAGGATTCTTGGCAGTGTGGAGGAACAGAGGGATCTTGGAGTCCACGTCCATAGATCCCTCAAAGTTGCTACCAAGTTGATAGGATTGTAAAGAAGGTGTATGGTATGTTGGCTTTCATTGACAGGGGAATTGAGTTTAAGAGCCATGAGGTTATGCTGCAGCTCTATAAAACCTTGATTAGACCACAATTGGAATATCGTGTTCAGTTCTGGTTACCTCATTATAGGAAGGATTTGGAAGATTTAGAGAGGGTGCAGAGGAGATTTATCAGGATGCTGCCTGGACTGGAGGGCAGGTCTTATGAGGAAAGGTTGAGGGAGCTAGGGCTTTTTTCATTGGAGCGAAAAAGGATGAGAGGTGACATGATAGAAGTGTACAAGATGATGACGCACATAGATAGAGTGGATAGTAAGAGACTTTTTCCCAGGGTGGAAATGACTATTACAAGGAGGCATAATTTTAAGGTGATTGGAGGAATGTATAGGGGAGATGTCAGAGGTAGGTTCTTTACACAGAGAGTGGTGGGTGCGTGGAATGTGCTGCCGGCAGTGGTAGTGGAGTCAGATACATTAGGGACATTTAAGTGACTCTTGGATAGACACATAGATGACAGTAAGATGTAGGGTATGCAGGGTTGTTTGATCTTAGAGTAGGATAATAGGTCTGCGCAACATTGTGGGACAAAGGGCCTGTACTGTGCTGTACTGTTCTATGTTCTATCCACATTGCTTGGCACATTTTTTAAATTTATTCATAGGATGCAGGCATCATTGGTTTGGCCAATCTTTGTTGCCCATCCTTAATTGCCCAGAAGATGGCATCAGTAAAGAAAATCGATTTCACCAACAATAGCTTCCAGATTTTTTAAATTCAAACTTTAATATCCGCCTTGTTGAGATTTGAACTGAGAACATTATGTGGGTCTCTGGATTAATAGTCTAGCGAAAATACCACAAGACCATCATATCTCATTCAAGGGCATCTTCAAAAACATCTAGCCAATTAGTCAAACATTATTCGCCCTTCATAAAAACATGCTGACTCTGATGGATTGTGTTTTGACTTTCTAAACGTCCTGTCATGACCTCCTTAATAGTGGATTCCGACAATTTCCCAATTAAACATGTTAAACTAACAGATCTAAAGTTTCCTAATTTCTGCTGTCCTCTCTTTTTGAATGAGGGCATTTTCAAAGCATTTGCCAATCAACTGGGACCTTTCCTGCATCCAGGGAATTTTGGAATATTATAACCAATGAACACAGCAGCATAGGTAGGAGTAGGCCCCTTGAGCCTAGTCCACCATTCAATGCGATCATGACAGGTCTATTGCCTAACTCCAGATACCTGCCTTTGATCCAAATCCCTTAACACCTTTCCTTCACAAAAAAGTTTCTATCTCAGATATAAAATTGGCAACTGATCTCGCATCAACTGCCATTTGTGGAAGAGAGTTCCAAACCACTACCACCCTTTGTGTATAGAAGTGCTTCCTAACATCTCTTATAATGATCTGGCTCTAATTTTAAGATTATGTTCCCCAAGTTCTTGACTCCAACCAGTTGAACTCGTTTATTTTTACCTACCCTCTCGTTTCCTGTTAATATCTTGAAGACTTTGGTCAGATCACTCCTTAACCTTCTAAATTCAGGAGAAACGGGCCTAATCTATGTAATCACCCCTCAAATCTGAATTCCTGAAGTCCAGGTATCATTCTTGTAAACCTATGTGTACTTCCTCCAAGACCAATATATTCTTCCTAAGCTGAATCTACTATCACTGCTGCCAGTTTCTTCAAGACCCTAGGATGTAAGCTGTCAGGACCCCACTTGTCTGCCTTCAAACCCAATAGTTTGGTCAGTGCTTTTTTTCTAGTGATAATGATACTTTTAAGTTCCTCCCTTTCTCTAACTGATGCATTACCTGATACTATTGGGATGGTACTAGTGTCCTCCACAGTGAAAACTGAAGCAAAATGTTGATTTAGTGACATTGACATTTATATATTGCCCTCTTTTAACTCTCCGGTCTCATCCTCCAAGGGATCAACATTTACTTTAGCTGCTGTTTTCTCTTTCATATACTTGTGGAAGTTTTTGCTTCCTTTTTTTAAATTTTGTGCTAATTTTCTTTCAGCATTTACCTTTGCTCTTTTCATTACATTTTTTGTAACCCTCTAGAAAATTTTAAAGGTCAACAATCTTCCAATCTGCCACTCACCTTTGCAACATGGAATGCCTAAGTTTTTGTCTTTATAATATCTTTAACTTACTTGCTTAGCTATGGATGATTTCTTCCCCTCCTTCCACTCTGTAGAATTAGTTTGGGGGGTGCTGAGAAACAATATTGAGAGGTAAAGATTGGGAAGAGTTATTTATAGAATACCAAACTGTGGTATTAATATTGGGCACACCATACATCAGGAAATTAGAGATGCACATGGCATCAGCAAAACTGTAATAATGGGTGACATCAATTTGGAAATAGGTTGGGTTATCCAAGTCAACACCAATGCTGTAGAGGATGAATTCCTAGAGTGTGTATGAGATAGATTTCTGGAACAGTATGTTGGGAAGCCAAGAAAGGATCAGGCTAGTATAGATTTGTCATTGTGTAATGAGAAAAGGCTTATTGATAATCTTGCTGGCAAGCAACCTTTGGAAATAGTAACCATGTTATGGTAGAATTTTGGAATATATTTCAATGTGATGTCGTTCATTCTGAAACTGAAGTGCTAAATCTGAGAAAAGGAAATCATAGAGGTACAAGGGACAAGTTAGTGAGAAAAAATTGGAAATATACATGAGAGATATGATAGTATACACGCAATGACTAGTATTTAAAACAAATCGTATAAGATCTACAACAGGTTCCACCATGGCACGGATGCACAAAGGGGAAGTTGAATCAATCATGCTTAATGAAAGAAGAAAAAGTTTACATTAGATCAAAGAAGTGACTGATACATATGCCAGAAATAATAGTGACTCTGAGGATCAGGACTAATTTCTGACCCATCAAAGGAGGAAGAAGAAACTGATAAGGAAAGGGAAAATAGAACATGAATGCAAGCTAGCAAGGAACATAAAAGTGGTCTATAAAGACTTCACAAGATCAACTTAAGTAAGGGTGCTTACAGAGGTAGAAAGAAAGAGTTGTCTGAAGCAGACCAGAAAATAGACTAAACAGAAGGTCACTAAATGAGCAGTGGCAGATATTGAAGTCAATATTGAACAACACTCAGCTAAACTTTGTTCGGGTCAAAAAGAAAGTCTCAATGAGAAGGATGAACCATGCATTGTTAAGAAAGGCAGTCTTGAGAGCATCCAATCTAATACTAAAGTACACAAAATGGTGAAAACTAATGGTAGCCTAATGGATCGGGATTTTTTTTAGAAACCAGCAATGGATGACTAAAAAGCTAAAAGAGAGAAAATTTATTGTGGAAGTAAGTTGATGGTAATATAAAAACAAACAACAAGAGTTTCTGTGGGTTTACAATAAATAAAGAAAACAATGAAAGTGAGCTTGGGACTCTTAAAGAATGCAATCAGGGAATTTATAAAAGGGAACAGAGAAATATCAGATAATTTAAATCAATATTTTGCATTGATCTCCATAGTGGAGGACACTATAAACATTCCAAAGATATCAAATAAGCAAAGTGCTACTGAAAAGTTCTTGTAACCTACTCCATTATAATGGTCAAAGTATTTGACAAACCAATGCACTGAAGGAAATTTGATTACCTGATAATAGCTCTCAGAAGCCTGACACGGGTGTTCCTTCTACCTTGCAAGACACACTAGTATCTCCCTACTCACTTGAAAAGGACAAGGAGGCAAACCTCTCTTTGAGTCACTGCTGCATTGAGCTACCAGACGAGTTAACAGTATAAAGTCTGTGCACAACTCTGATATCCACTGTGTTGTTTGTTGTATTCTATGGAAGTTATCAATCTGTGGATGCTGGAGATTTAAAATTAAAACAGGAAGTGCTGGAGAAACTCAGCAGGTCTGGCAGCAGGAGTTCTGAAGAAGCATCATTGGACTTAAACTCAGTTCTTCTCTCTCTGCAGATGCTGTCAATCCTTCTGAGTATTTCTTGCACTTTCTGATTTTATTCTTACTTGCAGTTAACTGTATGTATCTACAAATGTAAATAATGGATATAATTTAGACCTGCTGCATTTAACTGACTTTTTCATGGATGAGAAAAGATTTTTAAATTAACAATTAAGGAATATGTGTGCCTTTTTGTCTTTTGCAGGAAATGCAGAACTGAGCAAAAACCTGTTGGAGTACCACTATTTTGACATGCACAAATGTGGCACAACAGACATTGAATTATTATTGGATGAAATAAGCAATATCTGTAATGAATGCTTCTTCATTTGTATTAGAATTAGAATTCCAGCTCAAGATTAATCCTCCTATTACTCATCTGAGCAAGGTTCTTAGTAACCCTCTGATATGGCATTACTAGACACTGTACCTTCTATAACTCTGAGGTTACTTTGTCCTTTAATAACATCTGAACTATCACACCTTCTAATAACGACTCAGCTATTGTAGCCTCCCATACCTTGTGATACTAGTAATTTACCATAACCTTCAATGACCACTCAGCTATTATATCCTCTATTATTTGTTAAAAACCATTCCCTCAAATAAATATGAGGTGTCGCACTCTCAAACAAATATCGGATGACCTGGAGTTACATGTACACAAATTGTTGAAGGTGTCAGACTGTTGAGAAAATAGTTAATGAGGTATGCAGGATCCTGGTCTACATTGCAAAAATTAGGTGAAAACAATAGAGAGGGTGCAGAAAAGGTGTATGAGAATAGTTCTAGGAATGCGGACATTCAATTATGTGGATAGATGCTAGGATTGTTTTCCTTAAAGAAAAGTAGATTGAGAGGTAATTTTGATAGTGGTGTTCAAAATCATCAAGGCTGAGGACAGATAACCAAAGAGCCAAAGTTGACATGAGGAAAAAAACAACTTTTTGTGTGGCAAGAAGTTAGGATCTGGAATGACTTGCTTGAGAGTGGTGGAGCCATATTCTATTATTTCAAATGATAATTTATCTGAGGAAAAGAAAATGACAAGATTAAGGAGAAAAAGTAGGGGGTTGGGATTGGTGAAAATAGCTGAGTTACTCTTGCAGAGAGCCAACATAGGCTGAATGACATCCTTTTGGTCTATTGGTAACTATTCTATGATTCTATGACACTAGGTAGCATACCCTCAACAACTATAAGGTACCATACCCATCAGAATTTACTAGGCTACTCAATTCTTTAATAATTCCTACATACTGCAATGATTAATTGCAACAGAGGTGCCTCACCTTCTGTTAACACTAAGACTATTATCCAATCAAACAACAATGTATTATTCTTGCTAACAACCAGGAAGTATTGTAACCTCGAATAACTGCAAGGTTATTGTAAAGTCCAGCGACAACTAAATTACTGGAAATTGTTTTTATCTTTTTCAAACAAACAGCATTGAGCTTATCAACTCTAATGGTTGATATAACAAATATTCAAATAGTTTTTAAAGAAACTAGATTCTGAACTAAGAAATAGATTGCAGTTGAATGCATTTGCAGTATTTGAATAAGAATTTGAGATGCAAAGCTTAGACAATTTCAATCATAATTTTTTTTTATTAGAGATAAGCTGTCCTGTGTGTCACTATTAAAAAGAGCCCAGTTTTCCATCTTGTTGTTTGGATGAGAAAATGACCTTGTGCTGTAGAAAGGCATTGTTTTAAATATTATATATTTATATATATAAATATGCATTATATATTTAAATATAATATATACTGTCATACATTGCACTATTGTGGTGTAAGAATCAATAATACAACTTAGCTAGGGAATTTATGATATATAGAATAAATTCTCTAGCAAAGTTATGAAATTAATTCTTACACCACCATATTACAGTGTGTGACAATAAGTAATGAAACAAAAGCTGAAAGGCTGCAGATATGTTTTGTATCTGACTCAGGTTAGAAAATATAGTAAACAGCCTCTTAAAATAGCTGTTGACAGTTCTTCAACAGGGCCCAAAATACTTGTTACCAAAAACCTTGAGATTAATGAAAATTAAATTTTTATCGGACAACCGCACTAATGTGACTTTGGAAATAATTTAACAAAAGCGTTAAAGTGGCAGTAACAAGTCAAAAAATAAACCCAGTCCTCCTGTGGGAACAGATTGAACACTGAAGCTATTTAAACTTTTATACTCTTAGCAACAATTACCAAAAGGTTTGTGGTGTTCACTATGTCATAAAATGAAGCACCACATTTTTTTTCAAGTAAAACGCATGAATTTTACTTTCTTCTTCTTGTACCTACTAAAATAGTAATCCTTCAACTGTAACAAAACTCAGCGCAATAAACATTAGACTGAGCCAAATATTTCATCTTGTATAATCAGTGGTGACAGTGAAGCTAATCTGAAACGTAACTTATTTGTAGAACAGTGTGGGGCTGGAGGAACATAGCAGGTAAGGCAGCATCAGAGGAGCAGCAGAGTTGACATTTCAGGCTTGGACCCTTCATCAGGAAGTCCTGATGAAGGGTCCAGGCCCGAAACATTGACGGTCCTTGTCCTCTGATGCTACCTGACCTGCTGTGTTCCTCCAACTCCACACTGTATTGACTCTGACTCCAGCATCTGCAGTTCTTGCTATCTCCTTATTTGTAGAGCAGTTGGTGAATTTTAAGTGTTTGGTCAGCATGATTGAACTCCTTTACTTTTTGAAAGGTTGTTGCTAACAGAAATGAACATTATAAATCAAACTATTGACTTCATGATAATGTACTTCATGATACTGCCACTTTGATGCACCATTATTAGGTAACAGTCTTGGGATAGGCCCTTTTAGCCTTTACTCATCCACTGGTGGTTTGGTGAATGGGTGTAGGAGTTAGAAATTTGCCTTAACTGCAATGAGACTCTTATGACACTAAGAATGAGTGTGTTATCAATTCATTTATACATATGCAACAGTTAAGCTAAATGTTATAAAAAGGACTCCTATGTTTGTGTGTGTGTGTATTTTTAGGAATGTCTTAAAGACACAGGCTTTGAAATACTGGTGGTGTTTCACTGATCTGTTGCTGTTATACCTGACAGAAAGAAAACACAAACATTCACACCATTGTTTTATGTGTTTTGTTGGTCTCCTACCTGAGTTATGAGTGTAGATCAGTGGAATGGCCATGGAATTTCACAAGTGTATTTTTTAATGGAATATAGTTTCTTGCTGTAATTTTTTTTGACAATGCAATTAACCAACATTTAAGTAAACCAATTCTGATCTTTAACTCATTTTATTCAGATGGCCTAGTACAAGATAAGCTGACAGGTGAGAGATTTTTCGTATTCTGAACAGCAGTTCTTTACTTTCTGTTAAATGCAATCAAGATGATTTGGACATGCCCTTGAAAAGCAATAGGTAAAAGTAAGCTGATGATGCAAGTAGCCAAACAGTGAGATAAGCTCATAAAGACTTTGATAAGACACAGGCACAGAATGTTCTCAGATAAATTCTCACTCTTCTGCTGGAAACACAATGCAAACTGAGATTAGACACTACAACAAATTTTCTCCCACATTTCTAACAAAGTTATTACATTGCAGAGACAGAAAGTCAGCTGATACGGTGGTGAAACTGATAGACTTGACTTAAGCAGAGGTAGAATCATCTTAATAGTGACCTCAGTTGAAACATATATGTCTGGACATGAATAGATTGATGGCACCAGTGGAAACGGGCAAACATGTTAATACTGGACGTGACTCATTAATGCAGAGAATTGGGGTTGTTTCCACTTTGTGTGTAGGTGTGAAATGGGTGATGTTTAATCCATTTTGCAGCCAATAAGATCATAAGTCATAAGAGTAGAAATATTGTTCTCTATCACTCAGTGAGATCATGGCTGATTTGATAATCCTCAATTCTACTTTCCTGCATTATCCCCACATCCCTAATTCTATTAAAAGTTGGAAATTTGTCTATGCCAGCCTTAAACACACTTAATGATCCAGCCTTCATAGCCCTTTGCAGTAAGGAGTTTCCCAGATTGACTACTCTCAGAGAAAAGAATCCTCCATCATTTCTGTTTTAAATGAGTGACCATTTACTCTAAGATTGTGCCCCCCCATCATTAGGAACAAAATGTCCATATCCATCCTGTCAAGCCCCGAATAATCTTATGTTTCAGTAAGTTCACCTCTCATCCTTCTAACCTTCAATATTTACAGGTCCAATCTAATGCACCTTTGTTCATAGAAAAAAAGAACTCCATATCTAAGATTAATCAAGTGAAATTTCTCTAGTCTGCCTCCAAGGTCAGTATATATTTCCTTACATGATGTGAAAGGGCCAAAGCTGTTATGAGTATTCCAGCTGTGGTCTAACTACTACACAACCTCCCTAATTTTTATACTCCATTTCCTTTGAAATAGAGGCCAAATTCCAGTTGCCTTTCTTATGACCTGCTGAAGCTGGAACTCTTTTTTTATTCATGACTAGAATGCCTAAATCACTCTGTGCTACAGCTGTACGCAGCTTTCAGTTTTCAATTCTCTCTGTTGCCTGGATGGCTGGTTTGTGATGCAACATGACGTCAACAGTGAGGATCAATTCCTACACCATCTGAGGTTACCATGAAGGACTCTCCTGCTTAACCTCTGTCCTTACCTGAGGCATGAGGACCCTCAGGTTAAACTACCACCAGTACTCACTCTCTAATGAGAGAGCAGCCCTCTGGTCTGATAAGACCATGGCAACTTTGCCATTAGTAAACAAACAGATTTACTTGTCTCCCTCACTTTTTGAATAAGGGATTTTTCCAGAATCTAAGGATTTTTGGAAAGTTAATTCCAGTGCATCCATTATCGCTACAGCTACTTCCATTCAAATCCTAGGCAATGAAGATGAAAAATGGGAAGGATGTGTAACATGATCTGATGTTACCTATTTTACGCTATCACCTGAAGTTAAATTTGCCCCTAATGAGTCTAAAGTAACATGTTTACACCAACTAAAAGAAGTCATTTAGTCAAGCTGCTGCAGTTGTTGATCCAAATGCCAATTATGATTGTCTGAATTCCCTTTGTGTTTTTCTTAGTCTGTAATTTGAGGAGCCTATTTTATTATGGGGCTTTTGTCTGTTTAGTAAAAAGAGCTTAAAATACATTATAGATAATTGTTAGGGATATTTTTGTAACATCTCCCACTGTTCTAATTTTTTGTTATTCGCAACTATAACCTAAAGACTCATCCATAACATGCTTTTGCAATCTATTAGTTTTGTTGT